AACAAGGTTTTGTTGAAATTTTTAGAATAATGTGATAGACAAAAATATTAGCAGGAGATTAAGAAAAGATTAAATGAAGCATTACGAGTAATGTATGATAAATGGGTGATAACGGTAAATCAAATCATATCGGGATATAACCCCCTCTTATTATTAGTACTCAGTGTTATTACTAGAAATACTTTTGTGACATACTATTTATCCTCTAAAATTTATTACTCTATTCGTCCCAATTTATGTGGCATTAGTTATTTCTCAAGAGTCATTTGACTAATCTTCGTAGCTAAATTAAATTAAATAAAACCAACTCAATATTTAAAAATTTAAATATTTGAAAAACTATATGAAAAGTCAAAAAGTACTATAAGTTACAATTTTCTCATGTCAATATAATTTTAAAAAAATATTTTAAAATGTTGATCAAAGTTCACATAGTTTAAATCTCGAAAAGCAAAAAATACCATAAAAATTAAAAAGGATAAAATACTTTTTAGTGGTTTCTCATTTGTTCTAACTCATGAAAAATTAATAGAGCAATTATTTTTCTTCTAGTTTATTTTAAACAACAACAACGACACAGTAAAATTTCACAAGTGGAGTCTGGGGAGAGTAGTGTGTACGTAGACCTTACCTCTACCCCGAGGGGTAGAGAGGTTATTTCCGATAGACCATCGGCTCAAGAGAACGAAAAGAGACAATATATCAGTACCATCAACAAAAATTATAGAAATAATAACAACATCACAAGAACCAGTAACTAGATGGAAAATAGAAATAATAACCAGTAAATAAGGCCAGACACTATGAAAACGGAAGAGTAGTATAAACACAACATTGACCACTAGCTGTCTAAGACTAAATCCTATCAGCCTAGCCTCACACTAGTAGACTAAATATGTTCAACTATCTCCTAACCTACAACCTTAATGCTCGACCTCCAACGCTTCCTATCGAGTATCATGCCCTCAGAGATCTGAAGTCTCGTCATAACCCGCCTAATCACCTCTTCCCAATACTTTTTCGGCCGCCCTTTACCTCTCCTCGTACCCACCAACGCCAACCGCTCAAGAGTCCTAAAATAACTTTAACTAAAGAAATCGGAAATCGGAATTACCGATCACGTAAATATTTAGCTTGCGTCTCCCTATTAGTTTGCAGGAAAAGGAAAGGATTTCTGTTCCCAAAAGATCGCTTTATAATATTTAAAATATATTAACTTAATTTTTTAATTTAATAAAATAATTCACATTTCAAAATCATTCTTTTTTCTTAAATGTGCGTCAGTAAAAAGAAAAACAATTTTGCTCAAATTATCTATATCTATACTATATTAAAAGCACGAAAACCTTTAGCAAAATGTCGTTCGCCTTTTTTACCCTTAAAATATTATTTTCGCACAAGACAAAATAGTCATTTGAATTATATGCATTTAATTATTTTTCAAATATCTATGATTTCTCAATCAATTAGATTTTGTGTATTATATCCTTCCTTATTTGAACTACTAATATAACTTATTTAATTTGTACTATTTCTAGGAGACTTTAATGAACACGGAATGTTGTGAGAAAAATTACTTTCTTCCCAAGTTTTTGTTTATTTCTTCTATTTATTTTGTTACTAATTTAATTATTTTAGACTAAATTATATTAGAAATAAATTTATTAGTTAAAAAATAACAGAATAATGAACAATAAATATATGAACTTTACATACTAAATATCAATTATTCTTATGTCGTCCTATGCATTTGAATTTGAGTCTCCTTTTCCTAATATAAAGTATAAACATGCAAAAAGGATGATACTTTTACTTGAATCACAAAAACATATCTATAAAAAGAACTTTCTTTTATATATATTTACTTTGTCAACTTTCTTCATTAATAAAAGAATAATGTTAAAAAGATTCTAAGAGCCCTTAGTATTTAATGTTTACTATTAGTTTATAAGGTCAAGAAAAAAAAGAAAAAAACGTTTATACGGTAAAATCTTAACTAGCTTTCACATTTGACAAAATAGTAATTTAAACTATTTTTCTAAATTGTAGGAATAGTGATTTAATTATTTTCATAATATTTAAAAGCAGTCACATAATTATTTTTCTAATACTTAGGACTTTGATATGAAAAATTATGTTATTTAATTGGAGTCGTTCACATAAACTACATTTAGATTTAGGGTATTGAATTTCAATCACGTCAGAAGTATCATTTTTTAATATTAGGCTTACAAGTATCTTTTGTTATAAAATTTTGGTGGTCCTTACTTTCCTTTTCATGGTTTAGGAGTCCTTGTTTTTTTCCCAGGTTTATGAGTCTTTTTTCAAGGTTTACATGTATTTCTTTTAAATAACAGAATAGTCATTCAATTATTTTTCTTATATTTAAAATTTTGATATTAACTAAATTTTTTGTTATTAAATCATGTTTGGGAGTAAAAACAAATATCTAGCAATCAAAAACATAGTAATCTCAAAAGTTTATTAATTCTTTTTTTAAAATTCGAGTATCAAGCTTAACTAAGAAAATATTTTAATTTTAAGAATATAAAAGAAAGAGAAGGATTGGTAAGATTCAGTAACACTAATGGTTATACTAACATAAAAATTCAGAAGTGATATGTCATAGCGATTTTTTTATTACTCTTAACATAGAATTCTTATTGGATAAAAATTATAATTATATTTAAATATTTAAAACTTGGGATGAACTAATATTAAGATTTGAATCAACAATAATAAATTATTCTCTTTAACATGAAAATAAAAATTAAGCTCTTAAATTAATTAACCAAAGGAAATCTTTAAATTAACTAATTTACAAAAAAATCAAGTCATTCTTTTCGATATTCATCATATAATCAGTTATAATATAATATTAAGAATCAAATTGTAAAGGTACAAATGTTAAATTATAAGGATGAAATATTAGAAGACAAAAAATATTTTATGTGAGTTGGCATTAATTATTTTTATTTCTTTTGATATTCATTTAAACAAATGACAACTCCCTATACTTTTCTATATAGTGAGTTATTTATTTTATCATATTAACTTAATGTAGACATTTTAAAACTTAGTATTTGATAACCTAATTTACATATTCCTTTTGTTCATATTTTACTGATTGACGTTAGGCACACGTGCAACGCACGTACACTAAAACTAGTTATATTAAAAGCACGAACGCCCTTAGCGAAATGTCGTTCGCCTTTTTTGTCCTTTAAAAATAGATTTCATATTGGATAAAATTATAATTTAATTATTTTCCTAACTTAAAAATCAACTCCAATTTTGATTATTAAGTTTTTCCTTATTTAAACTATATAAAAATATCCTATATAAGACTCTAAAATCACTTAAAATTTTATTCTTAAAAACAATTCCTTAGTAAAACTAGGTTTATTGTTTTTGTCTTTTACCCTAGGTTTTTTTGTCCCACGAAAGTCCTACTTTATGAGTTTCGACGGATTCTTGTTCAACAACATCACGTGCAAGAGCCAAAGAAAGCAAACTATTACATGATTAGCTTTCTAGATGATGGAGAGTTAGAAAACAAATGTTATTGCAACCAAAGCCTTTAATTTTCTCGTGCGAAGCGTATATTTAAGACGGATAATAGTATTGATTTATAATTGAAGGCCTTACATTCTATTATTTTTTAAAGTTTTTAAGGTACGTTCAATTATTTTTATTCTTGTAGTATGCATTAATTTTTTTTATTTTCTATATATCTTGCATAGTAATAGAAACACAAGATTTTTATTTAGTTGAGTGACGTTTGTATAGTTTGTACCTTTTTTAGTACATTTTTTTAATCCAATTTAGCTAATTTAAATTAATATTGAGATAAGGTTGTTTGATATATTTATTCAGAATAGATTATATTTTTACGAAATTTAGTGTGACAAGTATCAAATTAGTAAGATACGTCTAATGATTGAAGTTATGAATAAATATAATTTGACTACAGTCACTCATATTATAATTAAATTGAACTTTGGAGGACCAAAGCAGGTTGCACAAGAGTATATTGTCAAGGAAATCTTTAGCAAGTTAAAGATGAAGTACAAAACAACAATATGAATTAATGTATGTAGTTCTATTGTTATTTTATGTATTAAGTTATTTATAGTTAAGTATCTCCTCTTTCTCTCACATTACATCTTGTATTTTTTTTTTCCAAGCATCGAATTATTTTGACTCTATTGCGTGCTGGAAGTACATATCTACCAAGGACCGGAAGTAAAAAAGTAGTCTTTATAATTTAATATTATTCGAGAGCATTTTCATAGTTAAGCTTGAAAGAAATTATCACATTGAATACAAAAAATTGATCAGACTTAATTCCCGAACAAGATTGGGATTTCATGAGTGAAGAGCATAGTAGAATAACTTTCTTTTGCTTATTTGTTTTCCCAATATGACCTATCTGCATGAATACTTCAGTTATATCATCCTTACTAAATTTTAAATGTCCTAATAAGTGATATATTTTTCATTTGCTAAAAGTCTAAGCGTTAATAATTTTACAGAATTAACTCCTGGAATTTGTTTGTTATATAAATATAAATTAGAGCTCTATATTGAAATTCTGACCGAATTTTTCACTACTATTCCTAATTATAAAGAAACAAATAAGACTCTAATTTTGTTAAAAAAATACATTAGTTCTTTCAAAATAATTTCGAATATGTTTATGATTTGCAATAGTAACACAGTGTCAATCTCAAAAGTTGAACATAATTTTTTTGCTAAGACATGATTTCTCACAGAAACAATTATGTATTGTACTTATTAGAAGAATATTAATGTCGATAACAAAATCTTTAATCATGACAAAGCGGTCAAAAGAGACGAAAGGAATAAATACCAAAAATATTATTTATAAATAGGTGTTAGGCGAGATACAACACAACACACTTGTATCTCGTATAATAAAATATTTTACATTTACACAATATAAGTAACATATTTTCACGTACCACTCTGGTACATAAAACTAGTTAAATAAAAAAGCGAGAAGTAGGAAAAGAGGAGTGAGGAATACGCCGTCTTAAAGTTTGTGGGATCCTTTTAGAGCGCCGGCGGTTAACGCACGGGATCGTCGATCATTCACAACTGACTAGTGGGATTAGGGTTTGAGTTGAGCTTAGCTGCGGACGATTCCTCGTATTCAATACAACAACGTTGTCCTCTCTATTGTTTGGTCTCTGTCACGCCCCACAGTTAACTTAATTTCTTATGTTGTGAATTCATTCAAAAATGGCAGCGGGGCTTTTATCAAGGACTCTCTTTGCCCACCGCCTTCTAAAGCCTTCCACTTTCTACAAGCCCCAATTCTTTATTTCTGTAAGTGCTTGCTTTGACATCAAATTAAAGGCGAAATTCATGTCTATGTATTTGTGACTTTCGAAATTTTAATCTTTTTCACCGCACATGAATGCACAGTTTTACATAAATTTCAATCCTTTGCGAAGCATCTGATTTTAATTGACGACTTAGCTTCCTTCCTATATTCTTTTACAATTTCAGTTGCACTTAATTCTACTTGCTTAGTTAACCTGTCAACACGAGTGGCAGTAAGTTCTTGATAAAAAGGGATTTGTTTCTTTGAATTCCGTGAGAAATACTTGTAAAAATCATGTTAGCATTATCACGTGGCTTTGTCCTGTAGATTGCCAACTTCAATTGCCATTGAAAGTTGACAAGTATGTTTCTGATTTGTTAGTAAAAGAAATGTTCCTTATTTGCTTAATCCCTGCAGAAGAAACCTTTCTACTCCCAAGCTGCACCAACCTATTACTCTTACAAGGTTGTGGGTTCTGTTACATGTTGCGTGGCTTCATCAAGGATAGGAATACGGACAACATTCTCAACACTAGCTGTGTCCACCAATGAACCTGTTGTTTCAGTTGACTGGCTCCATGCAAACCTTAAAAACCCTGATATGAAGGTGTGCGTGATTGATTTTTTTTTTTATATTTTGTTCCTTCCTGCGGGGATTTAAGATGGTGGTGCTGTCCTATATAGACAATTAAGGGAGAATCAGTCCTTTTTTGCTTCTTTTCCAATGCTTAGAAAACTTAAAGAGATTTTTCGCTTTATTTTTCTTAAAGGTGTTGGATGCATCTTGGTACATGCCAAACGAGCAGAGAAACCCCCTTCAAGAGTATCAGGTGCTACCCCTGATTGATACTTGTCTAAATAGAAGTGCTTTATCTCGATTCAAATGCCTGCATTGCTTTTATTGAATGTATTCATAGACAGAAAATATTCCCCCTCTACTAGACCCCTCTGTGAGGTTTATTTGTTCATCTCTCTCTCTCTCTCTCTCTCTCTCTCTTTTTCAAATATGTGGTTTGGGGCATGCTTTTACTTCTATTTGAACAGGTTGCACACATTCCTGAAGCACTCTTCTTTGATGTAGATGGTATATCTGATCGTACTACAAATGTAAGACATACTTCCTCCAAATTTTCTTTCTTCTTTTTGAGAATATTTTGCTGCATAATGTAATCTTTCACAGCTTGGAACATCTTCTCTTGCATCAATATCTCTACTTCTCTTCCGCCCCTTTTCCATTGAACTCATCTGTTCTATACCATAAGAGATGTTTCACGTAACCTTCCAACATGCTTGTGAGATAGATCACATCACCTTTTTACCTTATCAAAAAAAAAAGAAAAGATCACATCACCTTTTTACCTTATAAAAAAAAATGATCACATCACCTTTTTATTGTATAAAAGCTTTGTTTCTCTGTTGATGTTATCAGTTGCCACACATGCTGCCATCCGAAGAAGCATTTGCAGCTGCTGTGTCTGCTCTTGGAATCGAGAACAAAGATGGGGTTGTTGTCTATGATGGGAAGGGAATTTTCAGTGCAGCTCGTGTATGGTGGTGAGTTAACTGATTATTGCGAAAGGCAGAGAAGCTCTTTTTGTACAAAATAACTAACAAATTACAAAATGGATAATCAGGATGTTTCGAGTTTTTGGACATGACAGAGTTTGGGTTTTAGATGGAGGCTTGCCAAGATGGCGTGCTTCTGGATATGATGTTGAATCCAGTGCATCTGGTGACGCAATTTTGAAAGCTAGCGCTGCCAGTGAAGCAATAGAGAAAGTATATCAAGGACAGACGGTAAGTAAAAGCTTTTTTCCCGTGAACTGCTTTTACTCATGCATCTTAAAACAGAAAATATGCACAAAAAAGAATGTTTTTTTTAAACCCTGATAGCATGGCACCTTTGAAGCAGTACGACTAGAATTTAGTGGTGGCAAGGCCTCTGTGTGAAAATTCCCCAAGGTGTGATGTGTGAATTAGGTGCGTGTCACGAGTTTGAATTGCGGGCCACTGTTGTCGTGGATTTCTCGGTTATAAGAAAAAGTTCTCTGTGCAAAAATCTCAAATCTTTCTTGTGTTACTTTAATGAGATGATTGTTTTCTTGAATACGATCTATCTTTATGAGGAGTTTTTTTTCCCAGAAAATAAAAAATTAAAAAGAAGTTGCTGCCTTTACAGGAGAACAATTAAAGGTGAAAACTTGGAGGTAGTTATCCACTTATTAAGTGGTATCGCCTGATAAACTATATGAAATATATGTTACTAAATAAAGATATGATGAGATAAAAGTCCCAACCCAGGATAAATGACAGCTACTGAGTCTCTGTTAGTCCATGGATGTAAATCTAACATCAGAGATAATGTGTTAAAAGTTCAATAATTTCCTTTTCCTGTCATCCTTGTGGGCGCAGTGCCAAAATAAGATTCCAGGAACTAAAGGTTCAGTGATGAGGGAAAGTACCAAAATAAACAAAGAATTTGATATTTGACAGTTCCCTTTTTCTTGAATGCTTTGTTCTTTTCTGAAGAGTAACAGTTTGATGATTGAGTATTTCCTCTGTCTTGAATGTTTTATTTTTTCTGGAGAGGTGGGGTGAGAGAGTGAGGGGGTGGCTTATTCTTGGGTACGCAACACTCAAAATGCCTTCTCAAATACTTTTTTCAATAGGACGTTGAGTGCTTCCTTTTGTTAATAGTTTTATCCACATTCCTTATAGCTATTGGAATTCTACTGCTAATGTACCTTACTTAATATTACCATAAAAATTATTGTTTGCAGGTCGCACCTATTACCTTTCAGACCAAGTTTCAGCCACATCTCATCTGGACCCTTGACCAGGTTAGTGTGCTTGGTTGTGCTTTCTGCCTGCAGTTCTTTCTGGGAGCTATGTATAGCCATACACTGTCGAACTGGTGCTAATGGCATGGATATCAATATGTAACCTGTCTTCTGTTCACCAGCATTCAATCACATTATGTCCTATCGCTATGCAATTTAAAGCTGATGGTAGGTTTAGGAACAGATAGATCATGCGCAAACTTACAAATTGTAATGTAATGTGAAATTGCAAGCTTGCTGGTTCATCCTTGGACGATTTGTTCAGCTATATTCAGCCAGAAAAAAAAAATCTACTTCCCATGAGTGAGACGTAAAACACAACAAATTCCGCAAGTAAATCTGGGTCATGGATTTCGAAGGTTGTTCTTTTAGGGATCCTATATCAATGTTTAGGTCTAATGGTTTTATAAGTGGGTGATAGTCCAACTGACAAATTCTTCGTCCTCCTGCTAGATATGTCAAGCAGATTGAAGTTTTTTTTGTATGCTTTCAAAAGTAAATAAATGCAAATTTTTGTAGTCGATATTTCTTTCGATATACTTTCCATAGTAACTGACGATGTGATTTTGTTGTCAATAGTTCTATCTTTTTTATGTGGAGATGTAATGTTTATACTTTCAGGTTCGGAAGAACATTGAAGAGACAACTTATCAGCATATAGATGCTCGATCCAAAGCTAGGTACTTTAGTTTGTCGGAGAACTAATTTCTTAATGTATGATGCATTAATAGCTAAGTTTTTTTTTTAATCATGATTGGATGAGATTAAACACGGGCGTGTCATTTTTGTTGTAGCTCTTAAACCATCCACTATCCCCCCCTCCCAATTGAGTAATACTATTAGTTCTTTCTCCGGAAACTTTAAGAATTGAAACTTAATTTACAACAGAACTTGAGACTTTAAGCTGATGCTTTCTTTCAACAATTTGTTCAATATGCAAGTAATATTGATTCTGCACCTTGTCAAATTATGTCGAGTAAATAGAGGGTGTAGTTTGTTAAAAAGAGATATGCAGCATATATGTAATCAAATAGTGTTGAGGAGATAGAACAGGTGAGTAATATCTTTTGGCATGTCTTGTCATCTATAGGTCCTTGGTGGAGTTAGTCACTAAGGTTGAAAGAAGTACGTGACATGCACGCAATTCTACGTTACACTGCGCTCTCTTTTATAACATGAAGTGCAACATTTACAACTCACTTGACTGCTGTCACCAACACATTGGAATTTTGGTAAAGCCTATAATGAATACGCCTCGGGGAGTTAGACAAGTGAAATAATTATTCTAGTTATGGAGTACAACAGAGAAAAGGCGAAAGTAGCAAAAATACAATAATGTTACAGTTATACCGATGTTACATGGACTCTCCAAATTACCCCGTCTGAACAGTGTTGAACTCTGGTGCTGCTACGGGATTCGTCCTTGCACCAATGGAGAAAACAAAGACGGAAGTGGTGAACAGGCAGATTGATGACGAAAATAAGAAGACGGTTCCCCATCTGAAGAGGCAAGACAAGAACAAAGACCATTTGAGATATGGAGAAGATATACTCTCAAAAATAGAGTTTACCAACTAATTCATCTACTTCGTTTTGGGCTAAATGTTGTTTAGCCCGAAAAGCAATAAAATGAATTGGTCATTCCTTTTAATTAATTTTCTTGCACAAACAATAACTTTAGACCCTTAATACTTTAAGAGAACAAAGAAAGCTTATTAAATGAATTGTTTCTGCATAGTCATGTCTGTGCTAATTTGGATATGATGGAAGTAAGCTTCTTTTGAAAGGAAGAGGTGCATACTTCCTAGTTTTTCTAAGTTGGCAAGATAAACACTGGTTCAAGATACTGATAAATTTACCGCATAGCTAACATAAGCTTGTACATGAACACTTATGCTCTACTATGAATGGACCATAATGTTCGTTAGGTTTAATAAATTGATGTATCTGCTGTTAGTATTATACAAAATGGATCAAAATCTATTGTTCTAGTCGACTACTGTGAATTTGTTTATCAAAGCTGTTTTAGCGTCTCCTGATTAAAAAAAAAAACTTTTTAATGTCTGAGGTGGATTTTCTACAATTCATTTTACAGGAAAATGGAGTTGAATCTAAAGTTCTGATTTTTGCTTGCCCCATTTTAGGTTTGATGGTGTTGCACCAGAGCCTCGAAAAGGAATAAGAAGTGGTCATGTACCTGGGAGCAAGTGCATTCCTTTTGCACAGGTGAAGGTCTACTAGTAAAAGAGATGTGATTTTCAATATTCTTATCTATTAAAAGCCATTGTCTTCAGTGGAGGAATGAAATAGGATTTTGATTTTGGCTGGTTAGACTATTTGTTGAGGCATGGCCTTTAGATCTAATTGTGGGAGTTGACTTTATTCATTGATAATCCATATTATCTAGCGCATGATTTGTTGGTGTCTCACATTGATAGTGATGAAAGCTTTCTCCCTTAACAATAATGTCACAATGACTGTTTGTTAAGACCCTAAGGATTTGATAGATGTTCCCTTCATATCTTCCAAGATAATTGTGAGCACGATGAGGTAAGTGAATCCTACCCTCTGCTCATGCCTGGGTACAACAATGCTTGAACAATAAGCCATGTGTATCTTCATCCCCCCCTTAGGGAGCACCTATTGCACATTGCACCTAATGACTAAGTGTGTAGTGCCTCCTTACATTCTTGTTTCTTTTCACCAACAATATAGAGATTCTTCAGCAGTATGTAGAGTTCTACTATCTAGAATAATCCCTTAGTACAATCAAGGGTAACCATTCTAGCATAATTTTCTTTGTTTTTAAATGTTGATGCCAACTGATTAATTCCTGGATTAAGCTCTGTAACCATATATAAGCAGAGTTCTACTATTTGTTGACGCTGTCAATACGACCAAGGGTAATCATTGTGGTGCAGAACTCTTTGTTTCGAAATTTTGATCCCTGCTGACTAATTCCTAGATTAAGCTCTGTAATCATGTATGAGTATCTGGCTTATTATGGTGATTGCATGCAGATGCTGGATGGCTCTCAGACACTATTATCTGATGAAGAGCTCAAGAAAAAATTTGAGCAGGAAGGTAGGAACAGCTTCCTCTTGCTTGATGGCTTGCATAGGGAGAATAAAATATTAATGCATTTGCATATGTACATAATTGGACTTAATGCAGTCCGAAGTTTCAATGTAATGGTATATTTGAAAAGGCTTCCCGTTTGAATTAAAGAGTTGATCAGAAATCATTCAATCACGTAAATTAGTCCTTTTGCATCTGGTATTTTTGAAGTGTTTCTATAAATTATCCGACTTTTCCAGTTGCTTATATGGATAACCTATTCTTCTATAGGTATCTCTTTGGACAAGCCTGTAATAACTTCTTGTGGCACTGGGGTAACAGCTTGCATACTTGCCTTGGTTAGTCAAACTCTCTGTTTCTCTTTTGGGACGATCTTCTTATATGTCAATGACCAGAATCCAATTTTCCATTTTATGTTGGCACAAAATGGAGATATTCAAAGTTTCTTCATATTTGTAGGGCCTCTATCGACTTGGAAAGACTGATGTTCCAGTCTATGATGGTTCGTGGACAGAATGGGGAGGACATCCAGATGCACCAGTCTCCACATCTGAACCGTAAATGCAACATGCTTTCAAAGAGTGCATCAACATATGACATTGCAAAGTTTGCCTGATCCGTTGTATCCTCGAATAATGGAACATAGATTTAAAGATAGTTATGGCACGTATATATGTCAACAGAGGGAATGCAGAAAGAGTGGCTGTTAGTAAGAATATAGTAGGCTGGGGAAAATCAGATGTGCTTAAGTTACTTATAACTATTTGATCACGAGTCCAATTTTTCTGTCTTTAATGAGCAACAAGCATGCGCTGTTCATGCACCTCTTTCGCCTATGCATTTGATCATTTCGTTGAACTCCGTTTCAGACTAGCCCCAATAACGAAATGGACTATGAACGGATCAAGTAATTTTATTTTAGTTACCTTAGGTTACAGTCATACGGAGCTACTCATTAAAGGATACTTTTGGTATGATATTATTATTTTGGAAGTGACGTTCTTCGGGGCCATTCTATAACGGAGATTTCTTGGCAAATATGCATATTATTGCAAAGACAAAAGAACGAGTAAAATATTTTAATACTTAGCATGTATGTGAGGCACATCAGTCCTAGTAAAACAATAAGTGTTTTCTTTTGCGTTTCTACTACTTCGCGTGATAGAGAATTATTTAAGATACTATACTAGTTTAACAAGTAAAAATAAGGAGCAAGGAAAAACCACTCGAAAGTGTAACGCGTATCATCCAGTTCATTATTTTAACTAACTATAAAATAAAATATTGGTAATTGTTAAAATCACTAGTCTCTCGCACGTGTATATCAAGTCAATTATATATGAAAGTATATAGTAAAAGTTCTTGTAAATAATCAATGGATCTATCATATTCGCCTTTTGATAATACTTAAGAATAATACAAGCGAATACCAACATATTAGTATGATAAGTTTATTTACAACACACCCTTAGTATTTAGCTAAACAAATAATAACAAAGAATTGACTTATACTTGTAGTATAGATTGCATTGATGCCTTTTTTGATTGAATAGTTGTGTTCATATATAAATATAGGTAGATAATATGTGAAAACTAATAAAAATAAAAGTATTAGAACAATTATGGATTATAATGAAGATGACAAGACTACGAAACTAAAAATTTGAATGCATGCGCTATGCCGGCACAAGTTGCTTTTTATATGAAGAAAAACACAAATAACGATATATAGATTGATTCACCAACAATAATACCCTTTTAATATATAAATACAACTTCACAAATTAAATTAATCCATAATTCTTTTTCACTAAAATAAAGACCATTAATTTTAGTTAATGAATGTTACTCTTCATTGTTTTTTTTCGTCCTTTTGCTTTGTATAACTCATTTATCTTCCTCTTCAATTGTTTGTGTCAAGGTCGTCAAGTGCATATTTCTCTTAGAGCAATTAAAGTTATTCCTGAATTTACAATTAGTAATTTTTTGCATCGAATTTTTAAGTGGATGACTCGGTCGAGTGGTCTCAGTTGGAGATAGGATTATAGTTTTCTTATCCATCTCAACAAGAAAAGGGATTTACTCAACACAAACGTAATTAGCATTAGAATTCTAGTTTGTTGTTTCAGAACTCCAATATACTACAAGTATTGAACAATGCTCCTCGTTTATTCATCTTAATTGATATGCTAAATCTAAAATACATAAATTAAATTAGAAAGGAACAGACGAATATTAGTGCAAGATCTTAATTGAAGAAGCAAGGTACTGTGCAGTGATTCCATGCCTGAATTCATAGCAAAAAATAAATATATTGGAGAACTAAGTACTCCAGTATATAAAGTTGAAGGTAGTTTTGATTAGATTAATTACCTCAAGCGTTAGTCGGATTGGACATAGTAAAATCGTGCGTAATCCATTGCAAATAAAAAATTTGACAGAGAAAAATGAGTTTATAGCAGCAGGAAGGATGGAAATTGAAATAATGCAAGATGATATACTTTTTTGCCCTGTCACAACAATGTGTCTTTTCGCTCACGATAGATGAAGAAACTAATCCGAAAAATAATCCCTACTTTTTAACTACAACTCTTAAAACCAAACCCAAAAGATAATATTTGTACAAGAAAATACAGTTGATGAACTTACAAGGTATACTCAATTTTTGGTTATCCATTATATTTGCGTGTAATATTGTGGAGGACAACATGATAAATAGTGGAGTAAATTGTCAATGTCCAAATTTGAAGATGGGTAATGCAAAGGTGAAATTCAGGATCCAATATCAAGAGGTTCAAAATGAATACAATTTTAGTGCAATTTAAAGTATACTCTCATACAGTAGACATATCTTGATTCAGTCAAAAGCAAGTTGTTTGGTTAAATAGGTATGACTGGTACCGAGTAGTTTAGTCAGCAATAGTACCCTTTGGAGTTAGCTATTTATGATCTCTTTTCCCTCACAACTAATGGATGTGAGCTGTGTCTGAAACGTTGCTTGGGGCCTCTTGTAGGCGTTACGTTTTTTTATTTTTTATTTTTCAATAAGTAGGATTTTTTAAAAGGGTATTTAAGTAATTTAAGGTTCATGTTTCTAATATAGTATAGATATAGATTTGTATTAATCAACCAGGGACATTCGTATTAAGAATAAGAAGGGTGGCGTTTGCCGCAAAGCGTAAATAATGTCTTGTGAATCCCATTTGATCGATTTTGGGACTGACAAAAGAAGGTACCTTAATTAAAAGTGCAAAATGGTATATTTGGAAACTTAATAGTAATAATTGAAAGAATATTAACTTCATATGAGTAGAGTGTGCCTTTTATGCAGAGAGTATACAGCGTTTTAGTCCTTAAGATCATACGAATAGAAACCTAATAGTGGTAGGTTGGGGGCGGGGGGATAGTCGGGTAGAGCAGAAAGAGAAATCGATGGTTGGTCATAACGTTAGATGCTAGCTTCTTTTGAAAACCAAAAGCTGCCACCGTTTGGTTAACCGCTCCCACCCTTCCAATATCTATATATATGCCTAGTGTTACTTACATATACAAAAGACTAGGAGATAAAACAGAATGGCTGCCGCAATGAAGGACGACAATATTACCAATGTGGAAGAAATTAGTGGTGAGGCACAAAGCAATGAAGCACCCATAACAGGAGTAGGGAATATTGACGAAATAAAGGAATTAGAACAGCAATCGGATGAAGATGACATGAAGGGTGATCATATGCGTGGAAAAGGAGATGACGACGTGAATAAGAAGAAGGAAGCAGTAGTGGAAGAGATTATATCAAAACTTGAAAGAGGTGGTGGTCATATTCATGAGGAATTACCTAATTCTATTGACACTTCCACATCATCAGGAAAAGAAGCCAAGAATGGTGGGACGCCGCCATTAGTTAACTTTGGAGGGAAAAGAGGTCGCTCCACCTTATTATTCTTTTATCGTCTTTGGAGAGGTTACCTTGTTAACAATCCTCCTCCTCCTAATTAGAACTTTCTTCCCCCCTTTTTTTGTCACCCCTTTTGTAAAACTCTCCCATATGCTAAAACTACATAGTTCCTCCCCATCTCCCCCCGCTTGTTTAAACTACATTTTGTAATAATTAATGAAAGTACAGATCGGTTAGTGTTTTGTGTTGTCTGTTTTTAAATCTTAATTGAAAAAGTTAATAAAACAACTATATGTGATCGCGTGGCCTAATGGATAAGGCGCTCGCCTCCGAAGCGGGAGATTGTGGGTTCGAGTCCCATCGCGATCGTTGCCTGCCACATTTTCCCTTGTTATCTTTTTGGCTGTAGAAATCTGCGTGTATACATACTACTTAAAAAAATGGAGCGGTGGTCTGGATTATTAGACTAATAAAAAGATGACGCTATTATGCACCCTTATACTTCTTCAAAAGAGTAAGCAAGAAGAGGAGACTCCTACATTTAACTAGTTTCTAATTAAATTTCTCCTACATTTAACTAGTTTCTACGACCTCCTCTTTGCACGACTGGCAGGCATTCTACAAACGTACCCAGTCTGCTGGTCACATCCAGTAGTGAAAAATTGCCATTTTCCAGGGCTTATCTGCACCCTCTTTTTTTCAATCTGACCGCTACAAATAAAACTGAAGCAGTTCTAGTTGGAGCGCTGCTTTTCTCTTACCATATATTCTCGGATAACAAGTAGTACATTGGGAAAGGGCATACCAATATATGTATGTGGGCTAACCCCCTCCATAATATTCCAATATTATAGTATGTTGAAGGTAGGTTCGTACAAATTCAAAAGGTTAGTAGATAGCTATGAACAGGAGGACAACCACTTATATCTAAATGTATTACTTATGAGAGCTAGCGTACGTAGTTATCAATTGTATTTTGCGACAGTTCCAAGTCCCCACTGGTAATCTGCAAGCAAACCCTTCAATCCTCTCAAACTCCTGAACCATATATATATGATAAACAATGGATAAGTATACTACAAGGAAGTAATAGGCAAATATGTGGAGGGTTGATGGGGGCTCACCATAGAATGAATCAAAAGATCTCTAGGTGCTAGATTCTTTCGGCAACACCCTAAAGCAAGTACACTTGGGATAGTAATGATCCTTTTGTCACCTCCAGGTTGGTATCCCAAGTTGAATGCAACTAACTGAAACAGACTAGGGACAGTAGATCACATTGTAAAATGTGTTAGTAGGATCACGGTCACACGGTTTTCCATTTGCAAATTTAGATCAATAGGTGCAGTATTTTCCCTTGTAAGCCTGAAACAAACCCAGGTCTGCTTTTGCTGTATCAACCCGGAAATCTGAAACGATCCAATAGTGAAGTGCTACGAAATGTCTTCTTCAGAACATCATGCCTTGAGATTTTGAATCATATACATTCTTTCAAAGCTGAAGGTAGTATAGGAAGCAAACCAGAATCCTATGATTCCCAGCATACCAATTCAAATCTTTATCATCACTGTGACTGACCAGAAAACAAGTGTTGGCCAACAGACAACTCAGGAGCTCCACGCCCTTGCTTAGGCAACTAATCAACATGTAAATTTTGGTAAAGATAAGATCAAGGGCGACAACTTTTCAGATCAAAAGCAGCCAAAAGGAAAAGGCAAAAACTAAAAAGAAACAAAAACTCAGGTGCAGATAGCAACTCCAATCCAATAAAAGGATTTGATAACTTATACATAGTTCATTAGTAATTTCAAGTTATCAACCATGGAAGATTCTCTTGTCACAAGAGGAAGTGCCTCAGTACCCTGCCAACTGCAGCAGTGCACATAATGGAGGCCCAGAAAATACTTATTACAGTTTTATCCACCAACCTACAAGACTCTA